AAACGGCAGTGAGGGTTACGTCGTGATGTGAAGGCAGAGGCTCACCACCCCCGGCGCCTGCTGGGCCCCCGCACCCCGCGGTCCCCTCTGAAGTTCTCGCTGGCGCGCATCCAGGAGCTGACCCCGAGCCCCCAGCTGGCCCGTGTGGCAGACGTGCGGCGGCCTGTGCGGGGGACGGTGGGTTCTCCCCGTGCATCCGGGTCCACGGTGCACAGTTTGGGGTTTTATGACAAAAATACATTTGAGGCACGGACATGTATACTTGTAACTCAATCAGCTTTACGTGTATAAATGCTAAACGGAGAAACGTATCATGAAATGACCAAGACTTTTACAAAACTTCCCAACTTTCTGCGAGCAGGTTAAGGAACCAGGCGCCAAGTGTGAGAGGAGCGCAGAGACCCGGGAGCCGGGCCCGGAGGGCGAGAAGACGGCGTGTGTCTGGCTGCCGAGGAGACCCCGGCTCTCCCACCAGCCAGGGGCCTCACGGTGCCGGAGCCGGCGGGGCCTCCCGGTCATTGTCCTGGGGCCGTGGGCTCTCAGCCCGGGAACAACCACTTTCTTTTTTAATTTTTAGTTCCTACAAAACCCCTTCCTGTCCCGTGTAGAAAAATGTTTTTATATTATAATTTTTTAAGGGTATGTTTATTTTTGAGAGAGAGAGAGAGTGTGAGCAGGGGAGGGGCAGAGAGACAGGGAGGCCCAGGATCTGAAGCAGCTCCGGGCTCCGAGCCGACAGCACAGGCTCCCACGGGGCTCGAACTCACAAACCACGCGTTCATGACCTGAGCCGATGTCGGACGCTCAACCGACTGCATCTCCCAGGACCCCCCCACCCCCCCATGTATAAGATGAAGGAAAAGACCAGAGCTGGTGCTGAGCTCCGGGTCAGCCTGGAGAAAGCCCAGAAACGTGAGCCGGACGAGGCCCCCGTCACCGCCCACAGAGGCGCCTTCCCTCCAAGCCTGACCGGCGTGTGACGATCGCTTCTCCAAGCGCGAACACGGAACCCACGGACGTCCCACCGCGCGGCCCAGAGGAAGAGCCGCAGCGTGAGAGCCTCGCGGTCCCAGGAAACAGAGCGGACTCTGCTGGAGGGGCGGCTGCCGAGAAGCGAGCACGTGGGCAGGAGAAGGCCTTCAACCGACGGGCGTTAGGAGGCGGCTCTCTGGGAAGAGATGAAGGACAACGTGGCCTCAAGGCGAGAAGAGGGGAAGGTACGAGGTTCCTCCGTGGTGGTGACCCGTCTGCCAGCACGCTGGTCTCCTCAGCACCCACCTGCACCCCGCAGGCAGTGGGGGCCCGGCGGCCGAGGGGGCGAGGCAGGTGCCGGCCCCAGGGGCCTAACCCCGCACAGGTCCCCTCTGAGCGCCAGAGTCCAAGAGTCTAGCCCAGGGTGTGTGCCGGGCCGCGCTCCCCTCCCCCAGGCCAGCAGGGAGCCCAGGGTGGGGACAGGGCCGGGCTTTCGGGTCAGGCCTGGGGGGGGGCCCGTGTCACTTCTGCCGCTGCTCCAGACACCCCGGACTCAGTGTGGGGGGGGCGGGGAGGAAGGGAAAGGACAACGGCTTCGTCTGCATACGGACGGTACAGCCCCAGGCGGGACTGGGGACGCTGGCCACACCGCCTGCTCCTCCCAGCCAGGCGGAGGCACCACGCCGCCTCCGGGACAACCTCTACCCTGGGTTTGCGTTCCAGGCTCCTTCCTGCTCCCCAAACTTGGGCCACACTGCCAGCACTCTGTCACCTGCCACCTTGTTTATGCCACCACCTGTCAGGGGACACAGGGGTGTCTGCTCTCGAAACAAATTCAGCACCTCCAATTCTACCATTAGTTACTCTTTTCTTTGGGGTATCATACTGGTCAGCGTTTGCTGCAGTGACAAACAGTCCCAACACGTCAGAGGCTCGTGACACGAAGTGCGTGTCCCCTCACGTCCCGTGCGAGGACTGAGCCCCCTGCAGCTCTGGGGGCGCTGACCTTGGAGGCCCGGCTGGCCCCACGTGGGCCCTCACCCAGGTCGTCTAGAACATCGGTTCGCGTGGCAGATGCTATTGCGAGAGGGGGAAGCAAACAGCTGACGGTTTGGGTGGGGGTGAGGCTGCACCCCCTCGGCCAAAGCCCAGTGGCTGGTCAGGCCCCGCAGCCGGGGAGCCGGGGAGGCCGGTGGCGTGGGAGGAAGCCACACCGTGCGCCCCAGGGAGCGCGGCCCCCCGGCCCCCTCGGCCCCCACGCGGTCTCCTTTCACGTCACGCCCGCGTCCGCGGCAGCGGAGAGTGGACGTGGTGCCGCCCGCCCCTCCTGCCCGGCCGCAGTGGGACACATGCCGCCAGACCACGGAGAAGGGGAGGCAGCAGGGGCCAGGGAGGGGGGCTCCCGGGCTGCGGCGGACCCGCCGGCCTCCCCCTGGGTGAGCTGGGAGGCAGGCGGAGCTGAGCCCTCAGCTCTGGGTTTGTGTCCGGGGAACATTCTCCTGCAGACCCGAGGGGTGACCCAGAGGCCGGGGGAGGCCCCGGGGGTAGGAGGCAGTCCATCCCGGGATAGCTCCCTTCTTCTCAGGGTTCGCCTGGGGCGCTCTGCGGATGGAGAGAAAGCCCAGCCCCTCAGGGTCCCTCCGGACGGCAGGCTCACGGCCGCCCGGCCCCTGTGATGTGCTCGCCTGTGCATCTGGGAGGCCCGGTGGGCAGCCAAGCCTGTGCCTGCGGCTGCTAGAAGTTTCTGAGAGAGAAGCCGGATGGGTGAGGACTGGAGGCAGAGCAGGGTGGGCAGCAGGAGCCCCCACAGGCACCTGGGACAGAACCCAGCTCCCTGCCTCCTCCCCCAGGTGGGTCCCCGCATCTGGACCCCCCACGTGCCGGGGGTGAGGCGGTGCACCTGGCCGGGGCCCGACAGCTGGCCGGTGGGAGAGCCGGGCTTGCCCTGTGGCCCCAGGAGGCTCCACACCGTCCCCTTCGGCTACACGACCCTGAAGTTGTGGGCTGGCGACCGCGGAGATGCAGGACGGCCCTCCTGTGCAGCCACGATGCCAGGCTCCTGGGACACGGAGGCCGGTGGTGACGGGCGGGGGAGGGAGCCCTTGCCCCGGGGAGTCCTGGTCCCCAAGCCTGAGCCCGTGAGGACACCTGCGTGTGGGCGGAATGCCTGGCTTGTGAAATTCAGAGCTGACGTCGCAGAGGCGGGGGCAGAGGCCTGGAGAGGCTGGCATGGGGTCCGGTCCCTGCTCCTTGGCCACAACGGGTGACGGTGCAGAGTCCACACCGGCCCCACCGCTTACCTCAGTGGCCCCCGTCTTCCTCCGAGGAAGCAGCATGTGACCTGCACCCTTGGGGCTTGAGGGGCCTGGTGTCCCTGCGCCGTCACACACACGAAGGGCGTGTCCTGCCTGTGCTCCAGCACCCAGGTCGGTGGGCGTCGCCTGACTCACCGTCAGCATCCAGGTGCCAGGCGCGGGCGGGGCTCCGCTCTCCCTGGGTGCACACGGCCCCCATCCAGCCTCGCCCCCGCGTGTGCCCATCAGGAATGTGCCCATGTGTCACTCGCCGTGGACAGAGACAAGCAAGGTAGCGGGCAGGGCATGAACCGTCAAGGACCATCGGGCCCGGCAGGGGAGGTGAGGCCCCAGTTTTGAGGCTGAGGAGCCGCCTGACCCGAGCGAGGGAAGACAGCAGGAAGCGGGAGCGCCCCCCCGCCCGCATCCACACCCGAGGGCCCACGTGAGCACAGACGCCCTCACAGTCGAGGGGCGGGATAAGCATGACCGGGGGCAGCAGCTGAGGGAGGCTCTGCAAGCCCGGGTCCCGGCGGGAGGGCAGCGGGCGGCCTGGGGACGGCTTGTCTGGGCACAGCCGCCAAGGCCCACGACCGGCCGGAGCTCCCGCCCTCGTCCACGGTCACATCGCCACGGGCCACCGGAGCTCCTGGCCCCAAGGACCTTCCCAGTGTCAGCCTCTGTGTGCGTGCGAATTTTTATTGTTTTTAGCGGACATTCATCAAGTAGTTTTGCTTGTCGGTCTCTGAGTGTGTTGACTTGCAAATTCAAGCCAAGTTTAAACAGATGGCCTCAAATAAACAATCATGCTGCCCGGCTCCACGCGGCCCTCAAGTGCAGCCAGAGGCAGAGCAGAACGAGAACCCGGGACATCTCCGGGAGGCCACGGCTAACTCTTCTAGAAGAAGCCCACTAGCACATTCAGGGGCAAGAGAGTGAAGCCCGCCCTTCCTCACATCACACACAAAAACTGACTCACCCAGACGCAGACCTAAATGTAAGAGGGTAAATGACAAAACTCTTAGAGGAGGGATGGCCGGGGGCTCAGCCGGTCCAGCGTCCGACTCTTGACTTCGGCTCAGGTCACGATCCCAGGGCCGTGGGATCGGGCCCCGCGTCGGGTTCTGCGTGGACAGTGTGGAGCCTGCTTGGGATTCTCTGTCTCCCGCTCTCTCTGCCCCTCCCCCACCCGTCCCGTGCTTATTTAAATAAATAAGCATTAAAAACATCTCTTAGAGGGAAGAATGCAGGACAAGCTTCACAACACTGGATCGGGGAGCAACTTCTTGGAAAGGACACCAGAATCAGAAACATTTCAAAAGAACAAACAAACGAATTGGACCCGCACCAAAATTAAAAACTTGTGTGCATCGAAGGACAGAGTCAGCAGAGTGCAAGGCTGCCCCCAGAACGGGAGAAAATACGTGCAAATCATAGATCTGAAAGGGGCCACTGTCCAGAATATGCAAAGAGCTCCTAAGGCTCAACAAAGAATAAAACAAGTCTGATTTTCAAAATGAGCAAAGGACTTGAATACACGGTTTTTGGAGGAAAATGCAAAAACTGGCAAGAAGCACATGAAAAGGTGCTCCAGAGCGGTAGCCCTTAGGGGCTGACGTCCAAGTCCGAGTCCAAGTCCACGTCCCCAGGACAGCTATGACTAACACGACAAAGAAAACAGAACAAAACAATAAAACCAAAGGACTCAAGAAGGGATACATGGAAGCTTTGTACTTTCTTTGTTCTTTTAATGTTTATTTACTTCTGAGAGCGAGCGAGCCCACGCATGCGCGTGGGGTAGAGAGAGGGAGAGAGGATCCCGAGCAGGCTCCTCACAGTCAGTGCAGAGCTCGATGTGCGGCTTGATCCCCGAAACCGTGCGGTCATGACCTGAGCCGAAATCCGGAGTCAGAGGCTTAACGAACTGAGCCCCCCAAAATTCTTTGTACTTTCGTTCAATGTCTCTGAAAGCCAAAACTGTCCTGTAAAATAAAGTCCATTAGTTTTTTAAGTGTTTACATAAAAATCAAACTGAGAGCCTTAAACTGAAAAAAAAGGAAAAGAAATGTTGGCGAGGACATGGAGCAGCGGGGACCCTCGGGCACTGCGGGTGGGGGCGCACGACGGTGGGAAAGGGGCTGGGGCCCCTCAAAAAATCACATTGAGAACGACCATGTCGTCCCGCAAGTCCACTTCTGGGCATCTGCCCCCAAGAAGTGAAAGCAGGGATGGGGACAGGCATGTGCACACCCAGGCTCACAGCCACGCCGTGGAAGGGGACAAGCCGAGTGTCCAGCAGAACGTGGGTACGTAAAGTGTGGACAACATAGACTACAGACATTACGGAGTCTTTAAAAGCAAGGACACTCTGACACCTGCCATTACGTGACGAACCTTGATGACATTCTGCGGATGCCACCAGCCAGTCCCCGGAGGACAAACGGTGTGTGGCCCACTCACCTGGGGACCTAGACTAGTCAATTTAGAGACAGAAAGTAGACGGTGGGGCCTGGGGCTGGGGGGAGGGAGTGGGCGCTCCATGGGGACCAAGTCACCATTTGGGAAGACGAAGGGTCCTGGGGGCCGAGGTGCCCCTGGCCACCAAGCCGTGCACTTGGCCATGGTAGGAACGGTAAACCTCACGTTCTGTATAATCCACCACAATTAAACAGGTAATGACCCCAAACACACCTACATATGTGTTTTCAGAGTACAAACGTAAGGCTTACCGTTCATCGCGCCCTTCACATACCGACAGCCGCGGGTGCCGCACGGGGACCCCACAGAGGCGACGCGCTATGTCAGCCATTGCATCTGCTGCCTTCAAGCTCAAGTGTAGGAAGAACCTGTTGTTGCCATGCGGCTCTAAGCTGACACGAGAAGTAACTGAACTTGCAAACCGGTAGTGGAATCCGCGAGTGAACTCCGTCTGCCCTGAGCTGGTTTATCAGGTGAGGAAGAGTAATTTCGGGGTTTGGGAAGTTTGGGAATGTTTCTTATCAGGCATCTGGAATGCTTAAAATGATAAATGAATACATCACATTCGCAGGGAACTCAGACCGTTAGAGGGCAGTAAACTTCACACCCATCGGGGTAAGAAAAGGCCAGGGATCACCCAGGGCTGTGGTCCCAAACGGACCCCCTGGCCAGCACCGAGGTGGCATCTGCCCAGGACCGCTCCGCAGGGGTGGTGGGGACGGCATCTGCTGAGGCAGCGACATCGGGAGTAAGAGTGCAGGGGCGGCACGGCCCGCACCCCCCCCCAAGTGCCAGCGTGCCCAGTCACCACACACGGGCGCTCCTGCGAGAGCGCGGTTCAGGAGCAGTCGGCCACCGGGGCCGAGAAGGAGATTCGTGCGGGAGGAAGCTGCAGAAAAGCGGGCTGTCCCCCGGGGGGGGTCCTGAGCCGGGGGTGAGCGGAGGTGGGTGCAGTGGCGGGACCCGTGGGTGGGCGCCCAGGGGTCAGGAAGGCATGGTGAGGTGAGAGGGCCGGCAGATCCCAGGGACGCCCACCTCTGGACCCCGCTCTGCCCTGTCCCTCCTCTGTTCCGGTCCTGTGGTGGTGGCGGGGGGGTGGGGGGGGCTCGGCCCCGTGCTCCCGAGGACGGGGTCTGGCTGGCCTTCCTGGACCCGGAGCCCACCCTGGGCAGAGGCAGGGCCAGGCTGTCCCACGGACAGGAGTTCGGGCAGGGGACGGGCAGTTCAGAGAATATCCCGCCCCCCCCCGCCCCCGCCTGAGGAGGCCGGCAAACGACAGGCCAGGCAGGCTGGGCTAAGATCCACGGCCAAGCTCATGCTGGCCTCCCAAATGAGTTGGAAGTTTAAGTCTTCACCGGGTGGGTGTGATAAACGGGAAAAAGAGGCAAAACGGCTGAAGAATGGGACAGCAGGTCACCGACATTACGTGTATCCATCTGTCAAAAACACAAGCATCTCGCCCACAGCCAAGCACCCGCATGGCACTTCAGGAAATCAAGGGCAGCTCTTTCACAATGTCTGATCCCCAGTTCACGGCCCAGTTTCCCAAACCGCCCAAGACCATCGTGTGCAGCCGGCCTCTGCCGGGGGGGGTGCTGGGGGGACCACACACACGGCTGTTAATCCCGAGCCGCACACTTTCTCCGGGACGGGCCAGCTGTCCTGGAGAAGCCGCTCGCTGGCTCCCCACCCTTCTCGCCGTCAGAGTCAAGTTCAACAGGTCTGGCGAGCGAGTGCCCTGCGGCTGACGTCAGCGGGTACAACCTGTATCCGCGAAGAGACACGAAATCTGGTTTTCGCCCCGTCGTGGGCGCAAGGCCAACCTCAGGACAATCCAGTGATTTCACACCAATCCCCTGAAATTGGCTGTGTGACTCAGGGTGAAAAAACAACAGATCACTTCCTTCCCCAAGGAAAACTGTTATGTAATCAAACACCAGCCGTCACATCTGCAGCCGAGCGTCCGAGCTGCTCACCTCCTTCTGGGCCTCTCCTGAGGCCACTGAAGTGTCTTCCTCAGGTCGTGGTCTCACGGTTCGTGGGTTCCAGCGTCGGGCTCAGCGCTGACTGCTCGGAGCTGGAGCTGCTTCACATTCTGTGTCTTCCTCTCTCTCTGCCTCCCCCCCACCCCACAAACTTGCACTCTGTCTCTCTCTCTGTCTCAAAAATAAACATTAAAAACATTTTTTAAAGATTAAATCAATTTGGTTTTCACCCCAAGGACACTCAGCAGGAAGCCCTCCCACTCAGCGCCCTGGCCCTCGCTCCCCTTCCCCTCCCTCTGGCGACCCCCTCCCCCACCCCCGTCTGGGGCCCCGCCCCTACTGCGGGGTCTCCCGGAGTCCCCCGGCCCGCACCAGGTGCCCGCCCCAGCGGAGGCTCCAGCAGGGACCCCCAGCACAGAGCCAGGTGCACACGCGCCGTGTGGGCCCTGGGCAGCTACTCCCTTCGTCTGCGTTTCTAGAGAGAAACCCTCTCCCATGGGGACCCACGATGGCGCAGGGGGCAGGGGCGGGCGGGACCGCGGAAACGCGGGGCACACGCTGCTACCAGCCGCCCACGTGCGGGGGTCAGGGTGCGGGCCATGCCCAAGCAGCATCTGAGGGCCAGGGCCCCAGGCTCCAGGGAGCGCACGGCCCCGCTTTCCCTTCGGGGCAGGCGGGCAGCTGGCGGGGGAGGGGTCCTGGGGTCCACGCAGGCTCCACCCGGCCAGGTGTTGGCTCATCAGGGTCTCGGGGTCAGAATGCACCACCTGAGTTACGCTGCTGCCAGGGGGTCCACGAAAGGCTGTGTGGGCTACAACAGACACGGACACACGCGCAGACAGGTGCGCACGCGGCGGGGGCAGGGAAGCCTTGTGCTGACAAAACAGGCATCGGACGCCCTGGGATGGGAGAGGGTGGGGGCGGGCCCTGTCGGAGGACGGGGTGGCATGGAGTGTGAGCCCGGTGTGCGGCTCCCGGCGTGGACCCCAGATGGCGGCCGGGGACTTGCAGAGCCGCCCCCGTGTTCCAGAGGCCTCCAGGTGACTTGTGCGCTGGCTTCCGAGCAGCGGACGGGACGCTGGTTGGAGGGACGATGAGCCAGCAGACGACGTGGTCAGCAGGGGGCCCGGTCTCTGCCACGCTGCTCCCAGGACCTTGCCACTCACGGACAGGCTTTCCAGAGACGGGGATGCAGTGACCCGCGCTGCCGGTCCACTAGGCGGAGTGTCTGGGGGTCTGGCCTCATCACAGACATGCCCGAGAGCCCAGTGTCCTCCAGGGGGACCCCGAAGGCAAAGTCAGGGCTCCGCGTGCCGGCGCGGCTCGCAGACGGAGCCCCTGCTACCCCCCACCCCCGATGGCCACAGGGTGGCCGCTGCGACTAGAGGGGGCCCCGCCCAACACCCAGCAAGGGAACAGGGCCCTCCGCCCTCTAACACTGGGAACGGGGTCCCCCCGGACAGCCCGCCTGCAGGCCCCAGCTCCAGTTGAGGGTGCGGCCCCCCAGCGCCTCGTTTCAGGCCGCGGAGACACGCGCACCGGGCGTCTGCCTGCAGACGGAGCTGGCTGTGGGTCCGTCCCTCTACTTACTTCTGTTGTGCTAACCTACACGGTAGCACGATTTGCCCTTCTACAGATTTCCAAACGCACAGCGCGGCCGCGTCAGGCCCGCTCACAGCACTGTGAGCCACCCCTTCACTCTGGTTTCAGAACCTTTTGCTGAAACGTGGCCCCAAAGTCAGGTCTCTGGAAACTTTCCTGGAGAAAGTTGTGGGTCTTGGCGAGAGGCCAAGGGGCCGCGGGAAGTCCCTGCTGGACAGTCACAACCAGGCCACACGTAGACCGTTTCCTGCGGGCAAACCCCACCTGTGCTTACTTTCTCCAAGCCACGGGGGAAACTCCACAGCCCGCACTTGAGATCTTCCACCCGCTGCGAACTTTGGGCACAGCAAGGGCGTGAGCATGACCATTCCCCAGCCCCAAATGCTCAAGTGTGTGCGACCTGATGGGGGAAGGGGAGGCGTCTGCCCCGCTCCCACCTTGGCCACCTCGGGCCAGCAGGGCACCTCCCTCAGGGCTCCTGGGCATCCTGCCTGGCACCTGCGGCCCAGGAATTTTCCAGGCGAGAAGCCGGACTCTAGGCAGGTGCAGGGGTGGGGGCTCTGGGCTGTGTCTGCAGCAGGTGTGGGCTGACGGGCTGCGGGCACTGCCTCCCGGCAGCACGGCTGGCCCACGGCACGGGACCCGGGCGGCTGCAGCCCCGGGCTCTCCCCAGCTCCCGCCACCTCGGCTCCACCTGCTCGGCTGGGCGTCCGGCCTCCTTCCCAGAGAGGAGTTTCTGCAGAACACGGCAGTTCTTCCTGACCCGGCCGTGGATCCATCTACCCGTACGCGCACAAGTCCACGTTCACGAGAACGTAAATGCGGCCCGCAGGTCAGGAGGGCTGCTGGCCAGCACACCGCGGCGGCCACCTGCCTTTCCCCTTCCCGGAACCAGATGGACATACAGGGTGGGGATGGGGCACGGATGTTCTGGTTCCTCTTCTGTCCACGCCCAGACTCATTCTAGAATCTTCTTTCTGCCTTTCGAATGACTGAAGAAATTACCCGAGTCCCAGTGCCCCGACCCCTTCAAGTCCACCAGCATCAGCTTTCTTATTTGGAACATTTCCGTTTTGGCGAGAGACCCCAGTGAAGGTCCAGACCTCATCAGCGCTCAGGACACTGCACCCGCCCCCCTCAGGGCAGGGACGGCGGGGACGGCCTGGCTGCAGGCGTCAGGGAGGGTGGGCAGCAGGAGCCAGCGTGCGGCGGGGAGACGTGATGGCTGAGACATCTGAGCGCGCGGACAGGCGCCTCCCGGCGCTGCCAACACTGGCGCCCTGCTTCCCGACTGTAACTTGGGCCAGGCACTTTGTGGGGAATCTGGAAAGTACAGAAGCACTCGCTCGCTGGTTTGTGGCCGGCGCCTGCAGCCCGCGAGTGCCCGCCAGCCTTAACCTTTACAGAGGTTTCAATTGGAACAGGCAGGGTCACAGTACAGGGTACTAGGAAGGCTTCACACGTGGACCCGTGTGAGACAGTCCAGGGGCTCGGCACTGGGACCCCACCCCAGCAGCACAAGCCGGGACTGAGCAGGCGCGGTGCCTCGGGCCGAGGGGCAGCGCCGGTCGGGAGCCCGGGGCCGGGACAGGTGAGGGTGCTAGCTGGCGGCTGTGGCTGTGACTCAGAGGGGACAGGCTGGCGGCCGACATCTCAGCTGCCCCGCCCAAGGGACAGTCACCAGCCAAATTCTCAGCCCTCCCCACGCCTCACCCTGTCACCCAGCGTCCCCGGATGGAGGGACCCCAGGCCCCAGGACGGGGTTCAGAACGTTCAGCGGCGCGGGGTCCCGCCAGCAAGGATGCCTCACCAGCCCCGCAGTCCCGCCACGGCCCCTCCCCCCACCCCCCACTCTGCCCCTGGAGCAGGAGCAGGGGAGCCCCTCCGACCACCCATCCTCTCTCTCGGCTTCCCAATGTGGACGCGCGTCGCTCTCTGTCATCCTGCCCCTCAGCATGGCACGTGCCCCCCGGCCCCTGGCTCCATCAGTAGCCCCCGGAGCCCGGAGTCCAGACCCCATCCCCCAGCTCTACCACCTCACAAACCGCTGTGCCATTTTGCCACTTATAAACAGCACCCCATGGGGCGCCTGGGGGCTCAGTCTGTTAAGCGTCCAACTTTGGCTCAGGTCATGATCTCAGAGTTTGTGGGTTCGAGCCCCACGTCGGGCTCTGTGCTGACAGCTCAGAGCCTGGAGCTGCTTCACATTCTGTGTCTCCCTCTCTCTCTGCCCCTCCCATGCTCACGCTCTCTCTCTCTCTCTCTCAGAAATAAATAAAACATTAAAATAATTTTTTAAACAGCACACCATGAAAACATGAGTTTAGTTAATTTAAAAAAAGGCAAATTTTCTATCTGCATCTTATTACAGACTGAACATTTATACCAACATAAAAAGGGACATTTATGCTAAACATAAAAAAACATAAGAAATATAAGAAAACCCTCCGCTCCTCAAATGACATATACTGTGTGTTTCACTCGTGTAAGAAGGTGTGCAGGCAGAAGCCAGGGTGCGTGCGAGGAGACGGGTTGTGGCTGTGAGATCAGACCACGTGTGCAGACATGCGGCTCTGACACGTGCCTTCCCGCTGCTGTTAACACAGATGCCAGTCCTTA